GCTTTTTCTTAATGGGCTTATGTGTGCCTGTTCTAAAGATGCTCCTTCGCGAAGCGCAAAACCCCACCCTATTCTGGATGGGGACCCTGGTAGCTTTCAGGCGCAATTCTTCCTGAGGTTGTACCTTTCGTCGGCCCAGACACACAGCTGCAATATTTCCTTGTTTTCCGCACGCCCGGCAGATAGCGGAGCGGAACTTGCAGTTGGTTCTCCTGTGGCGACCTCCACAGCCGATGCACTTGAGGGGAGCTGAAGAGCTTCCTTTCTGGTTCCCTTCCTTCATGGGGTGGAGACGGTCGACTTCCTCGTCCAGATCCTCCTCGGAGTTCCCTTGGACTTCTTCTTGGTGCACGAATGCAACATCTGGACTGTTCCTGATCGGCCGCATGTTCTTGATGGCGCCGCCTGCTGCTTCTTCTGCGGTGACCTCTCTCAAGGCATCTTGGAAGGACAAGTCCTCTTTGGCGAAAAGCCTCTGTTATAACTCTCGATGCCTTAGCCCACACACGAATCAGTCCCTCAGTCGTTCTTCGAGGTCCTTGAACTCGCAGTGCTTGGCGGCCTTTCTCAATGTGGCGATGTATTCTTTGGCTGATTCTCCGGATTGTTGATCCCTCTGCTCGAAGGTGTGGCGCCATGCGATGACGGACATCTTAGGCTGGAAATGCTCCTTCAGTAGCTTCTTTAGATCTGCATAGCTGACAGACTCTAATGGGACAGGTGCTGCGAGGTTCTCCGCGATTTCGAAGGCGTCTTGACCGCAGACACACAGCAGGGTGGCAGCCTTCAAGCTATCTTCCCTCACTTGGTTCACCTTGAGGTAGTTTTCCACTCTGGCTATGTAGGACTCCCACCTCTCTGGATGTGAGACGTCGAACTCCGAAAGCCTTCCAATTTTTGCCATCTTCAGGAGACGGGTCTATCAGCCAGCCTACCCCCGAATGCGCACTGGATTGGCGGGTAGCTGCCGAGTCAACGCCGTTCCGCCGCTCAGGACTCACTTGGGTAAGCTTACACCTTTTCCTTTTCAGTCAATGCAAGGCATCCCATCCTCGTCGCCAGTGTTGAGTCCCTCGCGAAATGGCAAGACACGAGAAGCAGTTGTAGTTCTCAGATTGCTTTATTCTTCATTCAGCTTACAGATTGAATGCTCCGGCAACGCCCAAAACTCCCGGCCTCTTATATAGGCCTTTCCCGGGTCAATGTGTTACTTTTCGCGCGCCAGCACCCGCACATGCGCACAGGTGCTGGCGACAGTCTGTCTGGTCCCGGGCAGCTTGCACCTGCCCGGGACCGCCTGCAAACGCCCCGAGCCCGTTTGCAAGCTCGGGACATAACACTCCATTACCACAATAACAATCCAACCTCCCACAAGGGGATAAGTATAAGAAGATTGTTTAGATGAGCACAAACTCACTGCAGTAACCCAGAATACCAGGAAAATGAAACAGACCAGCTATTCAACACCTTCCAATTAATTGGATACTCATGCAACTTTATCAAAAAGTGTCTGAGTACTCAACTCATTACAATACAACCAACAAAAGTTATAAAAAGGATAATAGTGCCATACATCAAAAGCATTTCAGGAATAACCAACAGGCTATTAAATCACATAGCACCATAGTAAACAAATCAACTAAAGCACTCCAAAACATCTTAAGTAAATCAAAAGACTCAGTAGCCCAAGAAGGAAAAAAAACATTAGTCATCTACAGCATACAGCATAGGACTGTAACAGCCCCTATACAAGACGAAAAGGCAGACTAACAGTCTTCACATCCATGAACACCAAATAGCAGTCAGAAGATGTGGTGAAAATTCCTTAATCTCACAGCACACAGACAAACTCAGCTATAGTTTCAACTAGGAAACTGTGAGCATTCTAAACTAAGCTAAATTAAAAAAAGAAAATGCTAGGGAATTTCTGGATGCTTGGCACTCAGACAAATCAGTCATCAACAGGCACATAGAGATAAACTACATGCCATTCAAAAGGGACAATAAAAAACTAAAAAGGAAACTAAAAGACTAGATTACCTCTTCATCAGCAATCAACACTAAGATAAACAAGAATTAACACGATTAACATCAGACAAACAATCAAGCAATAAACAATACCCTAATCAAGGAACTACCAACTTAGACAAATAATCAAGTAGTAAACAAGGCACATTGAGGAGAAAACAACAACAACACTAACACTGACAAGGTAAGCTACTGTATATAAACAGGGACTAAACTCCATTCTCTTCCAGCACCGAAGATGTTACCTAGTCTGGTAACAAAATGTCTGCAAGCAAACAACTAAGTTCAGAGAGCATTAAGGTTCTCTCTTCAGCCCTGAGTTACATATATTCTCTTCTATTAAAATTAAGAATTTAGTATTTAAACTGCCATCTATATTTGCTATTACCAAATAGGTAATAGCTATAATACTTTGTATTGTTCTTATTGTTATGTGCAGCAACAAGAAGAATTGTACATGAGAAATGTTTGTGTGTTTGTTTTCTATGGTGTAGAGTTATTCTCCTATGTATATTGATGAAAAACTTGTAATAGTGAGAGCACAATCCTATGTATACTCATTCAGGATTAAGCCTCATGATATCCAGCTAAAATCACTCCCAAATAAATGCTAGGTTATAATCTGGATATGCTCTGTGCCAGTCCAATGCCTTAATGTGGCAAATCTGATTTCTACATAAGGTTAATCCAAAGGAGTGGGACCATAATAACAACAAGCCTTGGCTCCTATCTGTGCATAAAAACGAGGGAAAGAAATACTTCTTTGTAGGATTATTGTACATAATGTTTTGGTTCCGGTAGGAAGAGACAGTCTAGCAAGTACCTTGGTGCCAAGCTATATAAGGCTCTATAAGTCAACATCAATTTGAATTTCACCCAGAAACTCTTGGAACCCAATGCAGCTCCTTCAGCAGAGATGTTTTTCTGGGAGCTACCATATTTAGTGCCAACTGCATCAAACAACCTAAACAAATATAGCTAAACATTATCAGAATCAAATAACCCAAATAGTACATATTAAGAAATCTTTACTGAAATCAAGAGACATATCAAGATATATAGCATTGCAAAAATTGATTAAGAAAGTCATGTAATAAAAAATGATGTATCATAAGACTTACTCATTAGCTGCCCATGCAGCTTTTTGATAATTATCACATTGCTTTCAGACTGCTTGGAGATCAATTATGGCATGAACTGCTCTAGAATTGTTTAGTTATCAGACTATTATAAGAAATATAACTGTATTTAGAAGTGTGGTTTGAATAGTACATGGGTACATTTAACTTTTTAACTTTCAGAGCATTATAGTATCAGAGTTTATTTTACTCTATTGCCTTCATGATAAAGAGATTCCTTTCAATCCTGTTTGGTGTGATCGGAAAGCACCCAAATCACTTGTTATATATAACATGACACCATGGTAAGCATTAATGTACCTAGTATATTTGACACCCAGAGCACATCAGTTTTAATATTCCCTTCCTTTATCCTTGAGAGCCACTTTGGTGTAATTGTCAATGTACCAGGCTAGAACTGGGAGAGCATGAGTTCTAAGTCCTAAGTCAGTTGGGTGATCTTAAGCCAATAATTTCTCTCAGGCATACGAAGAAATAAATGGCAAGCATTTTCCAAAAAACATGGCCAAGAAAACTGCAGGGGTAGTCACCAGGGATCAAAACTGACTTGAAGGCACACATTTCCTCTGTATCCACTGCACCTATTGTCAAGCAGCTGCTCAGCATGCAGCAGCAGTAACCTGACCCCATACCTGCCGTAGCTTCCTTGTATATTCATCTATGCCCTTATTGCCTACACACAGAGTTGACTCTGTCCCCCATCCCCAGGATAAACTGGGGAATAAAGCATAAAGTGATATAGAATAACCCCAGGAAGATCAGTTATCATTAATAACATCCAGGAAAATGTTAAATATATATGATGAGAAATGAGAACCCATTAACATTATTTCCAAAGACATTCATATCTGGCTGCAAAAATCTATACAGTATAAACCAGCGGTTCTCAACCTGTGGGTCGGGACCCCATTTGGGGTCGAACGACCATTTCACGGGGGTTGCCAAACAACACAGTCCGCCATTTTCCCCCCTTTTCCTTAGTTGTGCTATTCCCTTTTATTCTATTGGCTTTTGAAAGCCAATAGAATAGACTCTCTTGAATAGAGTCTAATTCTATTGGCTTTCAAAAGCCAATAGGAATTGTCCAGGCTGTCTCTGCCCTGCTGAGCTGGCCAAAAGTCCCATTCTGCAAACGGTGTTGCAAGTTGTCTGCAGCGAAGATGAGCTGTCTGGAAGTTTCCACCCCTCCCTCCTGAGCAACTACTAAAAATGTAAGTAAAAGAGGGCCAGGGTGGGAGGTGGGAGGCCAGCGGGCACAGGGAGGGTTGCTGGAGCACGTGGGGCCTGGCGGGTGCCTTACCTCCCTTGGGCTGGGCCAACTGGTGGCCCAGCCAGTGGTCACCCTGCGCCGTCGCTGCCCTTTGCCAGCTACGCTTCGGCCGGCGCAGGGGGCGGCACCACACATGCGCGGCGCTCCCAGGCAGGGAAAGTCCTCGACTTACGACTGGTTGGGTAGTCCTCGACTTACAACCGGTTGGGTAGTCCTCGACTTACAACCAGTTGGGGGTCGTGGCATTAAAAAGGTTGAGAACCAGTGGTATAAACAATAGATAGCAAAGTTTTCAACATCTCTTTCTTGCTCATCTTGATCATTTCAAGATTTCAAGCCCAGTTACATTTCCTAATCCTCTAGCTAAAGAGAGAAAACAAACAAAATCCTTCAAGATCAGGAGTGTCAAACTGGTGGCCCATGGGCCAGATGCATCACATGCAGGCCACGCCCACCCCAGTTATGCAAAGGTAAAAAACCACGTGATACATCACGATATGTCACGTGACACAATCAAGTTTGACATCCATGTTCTAGATGAATGCTTTTTTCTTTGATCTTACCTTTTCATGAGCTTTGGGGAGCATTCCCTCTCTAGGTTGGAACACGAATGCTTCACATGCATGGTGTTGTAAGATGTGTGAGTGTATTCATTCTCATCGCTGTAATCTGGTCCAAGTAACGTCCGAGCCCATGTGCCCATGTCATAGGGAGGAAGAGTCCCTCCAAACTCTGAGGGTAAGCAATCAGGGTGTATGAGCTGGTGAAGACTATTAAGATTGTTTCCATGAAGAAAGATCTTTTTAAAAACAAAACAGATATTAGAAGTTGTTGATGTGTTTGTGCCATTCCAATAATCAAGTTTTTTGTAAAAATAAAAAAGGTATGTAAATAATGAAAGAACCGTGGAGTTGACCTTTATGTAAATAAAATCTGCCTTTGAGTAATGTTCAGAAAGCTGTACAGGTAGTTCTTGGCTTATGACAGTTTGTTTAGTGATCATTCGAAATTACAATGGCATTGAAAAAAGTGACTTATGACCATTTTTAACACTTATGATTGTTGTAGCATCCCCATGGTCACATGATTTACATTCAGATGCTTGACAACTGACTGACTTTTATGACAGTTGCAGTGTCTGGGAGTCATATGATTCCATTTTGCAATCTTCTGATAAACAAAGTCAATGGGGAAACCAGATTCACTTAACAACTGTATTACTAATTTAACAACTGCAGTGATTCACTTAACAAATGTGGCAAGAAAAGTGGTAAAATGGGGCAAAACTCACAATAAATTTCTCACTTAACAACATAAATTTTGGGCTCAATAGTGATCATAAGTTGAGGACTACTTGTACTGTTTTGCAAAAAAAAAAAAAAAAAGTCATTGACCTATTGGAATTCAGCCAGCCTTTTGTTGTTTTCATTTCCTTCTGATTTGTTTGCAGGTAAATGGTTTTGGTCTCAAAATATAAATCCCTATATGGACATTCACACGTTCATCAAGGGTTTGTTTTATGAACTTAGACAGTGATGAATGAAAACAGCCATTATGCCTATGTTGTTGACCGTCAACTCCAGATAAATTCAGTCCACTTTGCACCAAACTTCGCATGTATTTCAGCCTCCTCCAGATGTATTGGACTTCAGCTCCAACTAACAACAAGTCATATATCTGGAAATGAGAGCTGGTTAATTGCATTCCTACTCTTCTACCTACTTGTTTTAGTATTCTTTTCATTTTTGTTCTCTTCTGAAAAATATTTTTAAGCATAGTCATCATTTACTGTATGACTATATTATTAGAATGAGATAATCTCATACATATTTATATATGTCTAAGAAATCCTTTAGCCTGGATATGTATGCATGCATGGATCATAAAAATCAATATTCGAAGTTTTTTCTTTTATTTGAAGTTTGAAGTTTAATTGTTATCAGTGATTTTGTTCTCATCTGGTTACATAAAAAAACAATATGCTAAGCAGAAAAATCAGAGATTTCTCCCAAGGTTAAAATGTTTGGGAGGGGAAGGATCAGTCCTTTGATAACACAGACTTGAAATGTTATCTATCAATGTGTTTAACAACCTATTGTGCCCTGGATTTCCTCTTGCAAGATTTCTTGAAAGAAGGGAACAGGATGAATAGTCCATGACATTAAAGGGCTTTGGGTTGAAAAATAGATAATTTTATATTTTACAGAAAGTTGCTTTTTCCATGTATATGATTAAAGATTTTCTGACTTGGCTTGGAATCTGAAAATAATTCTCTCCTGCTGAAATAGTGATTAAATGTAAACTGCTGACAAAATCCAGCTGAGACTTCATCCCTTGTTGCAAACCACAAAGAGAAAAAGGAAGAGGCAGAGAAGAGTAGAAATTCCCTAATATCACTTGTAGGCTTGCAACATCACAGACTTGTTTCATTTTCTCATTACCCTTTTCCGTGTCTTGTCTTTGAGGAAGGGCTTGATTAGCGTGTAGAGAGCATGGATGTACCACGGCTGGTTCACAAAATGGATGCCTCCAAAGCGAGCAGGGAAGCTGTCCTGTGGAGAAGAAAGAAACATATTGTAATTAACAGAGACTAGCAGAGATAAATAGCAGGGCCTGTTGTCAGAGGAGTCAGAGAAGGTCAGAACAGAAGGCTCGGCTATTAACTGGTGCATTTGAGAGACAGCTAAAGCACCGGCCATACTACATTGTGTTTTAGTGCACGATTTGCTCTTTTATACAATAGAACAAAATTGAAAACATCCACAGGTGGGGCTTATCTTCATCCTAGATTTATTTCCATGAGAGTCTGTATATTGCATTTCTACAAGAATGTGTGAATCTCTTTTCAAGCACCACAGAATGAATATGACATGGTTTGTATTTTGTAATTCCCAACTGGCTCACAGAACCAAGTCCCCTTAGACATCTATGGACATGATTTACCTCTTCACCCTGTGCCTTTGCCCTTCCTCAGCCCTTCCTCAAGGCATTGTTTCAATAGCTGAACTTTCTGGGTGAATGAACTGGGCATAAAGGACAGAGGAAGATATTAAATGAAGCTGTCAGAGGGAGGAACAGCATACAGCGCCATGGCAACTGACACAAATGCCTGCTTTGGGGGTTCTGAAGAGATACCCAACAAATTAGTATGCAGATAAGAGTCAAGCTTTTCAGACCAACAACAGTGGGATTCTTTTTCAGGTAAGCATAATGCTTCTATAGATGAAGAAGCAGCATCTGAAATTATGTTTCTCATAGATCCTGTTAAATCATTATATTAGATTCATAGGAAAACAGGGAATAAACTAACATTAAATGTTTTAGGTATATATATATATATATATATATATATATATATATATATATACCTAAAATATATATATATTATATATATATTTATATATATATATTCAAAATGCACTTAAGATGAAGGGCAAATTTCTTCTCCTGAGATTTCTGAATAGGAGATAGCTGTGCATTCAACAGAACAAAATAGCTGTCTTTACAATATACTACTCAATTATTCATTTAATACATTTATAACCTGCTCGCTCCAGATAATACTAGCCAATAGCAATTTACAATATAAAAACAAAACATTAATAATAAAAGCTCACCAGTAGAAAAACAGAGTTAAGATCACAAAGCATTATATAAAATTCAGAAACTGCAGGTAACCAGAACAAGGCAGCCAGGCTTCTATTGGGATTTCTCAGAGAAAGCAAAGCCTTGTTGAATGTTTTGTACAGATGTAATATTTTGTATGAAACATCATGCAAGAATAGATGGGTCAAGGCCAAATTTCTTTAAAAGGTAAATGTAATTTCTACAATTTCAAGAGAAATGCGTAATTTGAACACCCTATTCAAGCAATCAGATTTAACCATATTTTCAACTGGGAAACCAAGCCAAGTCCAAAAATGCTAGAGAATTTCTAGAAGCTTGGCACACTGACAAACTAGCCATCAATAAACACATAAGCAGTATCTATACTATGCAAAAGAAATAATCAAGAAGCCAAAAAGGGAACAAAAAGACCAAAGCATCACCAATCAGCACCCAGATGAGTATTGATTAACTCAAAGATTAACATCCGACCAACAATCAACTAAACAATACCCCAATTAAGGAACTGCCAAACAAGCCAACAATAAACAGCCCAACCAAAGACCCTCTAAACCACCCCCACCAACCCTGATAGAGCAAGCTACTAGAATATAAACTAAGAGCAAACTCTATTCCTTACTAGCACTGATGATATTACCTAGTTTGGGTAATGAAACATCTTCAAGAAAACAACAGTTCAGAAGGCATCAAGGACCCTTCATTTCAACCCTGAGCTACAAATATTCTCTTTTATCAGATCTCTTTTACTACTGCACCTTAGAGCAGATGCAGGTATTCTGTAGGTTCTTGGTGAAGTATATTGCATGTCCCTGTGGCTCTTTTGATTTTCTGTTTAAGAAACCCTAATAGAATGCCTGTTGCTAGGTTATACCTCTTCAAAAAAAAAAATCCTGTTATAAACCTTTTCATTCTGAATATCTTTGCCAGCCTGGATGGAAATGGAACCACAGAACCTAATAGTATATGATTAATCCCGTTAAACCATTTCCTTCATACTTTTCACTGTAGAAAATAAAGCAAGGAGAAAAAAACAAATAGGAAGTCTTTCTTCATAATGCTTTTGTGACATAAGTTTATCACACCTTGTTCATGAATATCACTAGAGTATTAGATGCAAACCTTCACTTCCTGCTGGTAAATCAAGCACTTGATTGATCTGCCCACATGCTCCCATTTAGAACATTTATATTCAGTTTCACTCATTTCTGCATGAAAGTTAGCATTATAAATGAATCAAATATGTCAAGAAATTAGGAAACAAGAAAACAATCAGTCAGTCTGTGGGCTTGACAAAAGCTAGCAAGCAACACAGATGGAGGAACAAAAAAAAAAACCCAAGGGAGGGAGGGAGGGAGGGAAAGGAAGGGAAAGGAAGAGAAAGGAAGGAAAGAAAAGGAAAGAAGGAATTATCTATTACAGAGATAATGAACGGACATCTAGATATGTTAACCAAAGCTTAGAATAGGGACATCTAGAGACCAATAGGACAATTGTTAGATCATTATTAAAATGTTTATTAGATGGTTTGTTTTATATAACCCACCTTATCCCACCTTCCACTTTAGTGAAAATGTATAAAGCTTTCTTAATTCTGTTTTTCAAGGTTCTTTGGCATTTTCTAGCCAGGACCCCTTTTCTATTCTATTCTACATTCCTTAGATCAGTGTTTTTCAAACTTGGCAACTAGAGCCTTGTAAATGATGACCATGGCTGATTGCAGTGGATTAGCAGTATGACGGTACTGAAGCAGATTGAAGTTTATCAAATTTTAATCTCACAGGAGTCATGGGCCCCAGATTTTGCATGCATTGTGTAAATTAGCCTATTTGAGGCAAATAATAACTTTCTGCACAAAAGAACTCATTTCCTACTAATCAATTTTTGACTGCAACTTAACATTCTTTGGAAAAAAACAGTCTAATGAGGAACCCAATTGTTTACACACATGCAATAATGTTACTACAGTATAGCTATTATCTATTATACATACAACATTCCTCCCTACAAGGAAATTTATCAGTGGTACATAGGGAAAAAGAGAAACCAGTGTTCCAGTATTATTTCACTTTTCTCCTTGAAAATACTGTGTAGCTTTTTTTGAATATTACATAATTATTAACATCAAGCAGCAGTACCACACTTCTAGGAGAGGGGTCTCTAAATTTATGGAATCCAATATAATAAGTGAATAATATAGTATATATATCATCTAGAATAACTTCCAGACCCATCCAGTATTTGGAGTTATAATACTGTGATGTATTTGGAGGGATATACACATTTACCAGTATTAACTCGAACTCTTTATATCCAAATTTAACAGCTAGAAAATACGAATACTTGTCTTCATTGTATAGTTTCACCCCCTGCCATTGCAATTCTTGCTTTATGAGAATGCATAATCCACCAGAGGGTTTCCCTTTGTTTTTTGTTTTTTGAGCTGGGGAAGCCCATCCCTGGAAGCCTGGCAATTGTACTGGTTCATCCACTTCGGTTAACCAGGTTTCCTGAAAGGCTATTACATCAAATGAATAATATAGTAAATATAATCATATATAGTCATAGTAAATATAATACTCAAAAATAAGTTGAATAGCATCCAACGGATTGCAAACTCTTGTTCTTATTCCTTATCAGTGTATCAGAGATAGAACATTTAAACATGCCTGACTTTAATTTAATGGCATCTTAATTTTAGATAAACTAAGCACTTTTTATGAATATTAGATGAACTAAGCAAATTCTGGATAATTGCAGCTGTTTAGGACTATTAATCAATATTGCCTAGCTATTAAAATACAATAATTTAGAAACTTCCCATGAGAATTATGGCAAATTAGACATCCCTGAAGGAGTGGGGATAGTATTGCAGGAAAGATTGGTAGTCAGACAATATACAGTATATAAAAAGTATATAAAATGCTCATTTTTACATACTAGTATTTTATATACTAGCATATAAAAATAAGATCAAATCCTACTCCCTTCTCGTACTGATCATGTTGCCTAGTTTGGTAATGAAATGTCTGCAAGAAAACCACCAAGCTCAGAAAGTACCAAGAACCTAAGAGATGGCTATTCCGAAAGCACTTAGTGATGCAAACTTTTCTGAACTGAATAAAATTTGCTTGTGCATTTAGCGTTTCTTTTTCTAGCATCCCTTAAATTGCCTTTGGCTGAAAAAGCACAGTAGTTCAAATGCTATTAATCACAGAATCTGATATTTACGAGCAAACTACTTATGCTGCTCCCAATATTCTAGGAATGTCTGTTCATTTATTTCTGGATGTAAACATAGGCAACATCTCGACCCAAGCTCTGATTTTAATAGTTTGGATTTGTTTTTGTTTTATTTTATTTTATTTTTAAAAAGCCATGATAATTCAGTCTGATGCTAAGCTCTGTCTCTGGATACTTATTTTATCCTTCATTCGGCACATACAGTATGCAGATACTCTGTATATGTGTGATATATATTTTGTCTGGCAGATGTTGCAAATTATTAATCCCCCAGAAGTCCCATGGATTAAATCTCAAATCTCTAAACATTTCTAAAGTTGCTGCATGCAGCACAGCCCTGTGGTAAAAATGGCTCACTGTTCACTGAAACAAATAAACATTTGAAATTCTTAATTAAGCCTCAAGTTTCAACATGATTTTCTATTGATTTTTTAATTGTTTCTGTACTTGACAACAGTATTCCTGGAAAAAAAGAAAAGAAAAAAAACTCAAGGCATTCTCAAGGTATTACACTGTCTTCTGTGCTACATACCTGCAACCCTTCAATGGCCAGTCTGAGGATGGAAGGAGTCAATTTGGAGGCTTGCTTGAAAGAAAAATTACTCCAGTCTATAATTAGAATGAAGCCATTTATCTGAAGCTCTTGATCTTCAATCAGAACTTCCAAGGACAAGAGAATAGCCCGTAAAATATCTATGAAAGAATTTCTAGGAATGGGAGAAAACAGAAAAATCATTTTTCATAAGTTGGAAGTAAACAAATAAACAAAAAACCCACTTGCTTTTGTGGCATTAGACAAATGCAGCTCATTTTCTACCAGTAGAAATTGTGACAAAGTGATGATTTTACTTCTTTGAACCTGTGCAAAGTTATTTCTGGAGTTCCTTCTCATTATTACGTACAGTAGGCATTGTTATAATGTTAAAATATAACAACTAATACAAAGTATTTTGAGAACCCGATGAACCATAGAGAGCATTTAGAGTCCCATGGACCATAGAATTTTCCAAAGCAAAAAGAAAATAGTGTTTGGATATCAAAATAGAAGTCAGGAATAAGGAGAAAACATAGTAATCATAGGGCTGGGAAATTTTATTTTCTTCCTACCAGAGTTAATGATACTAGAATTTACTTTTAATGCTTTTTAACTTTAATCTTCTGGCATAAATAAATGTGGTTCCTTGTACTAGATTTTTCTCTCCTGATCATTGAAATTGCTATCCTCAAAGCTATGTGTTCAAGAAATCATAAAATTATGGCAATAATATAATTATTATATTATATATTAAGTTAAACTTTTTAGAAAGTCAGTGGACTGTAATTAATGGAATGAGTAAAGCTATTTCCAGTTATGTCTTCTGTCCTTCCACATCTTTCTTGCTAACACAAGAAGCTTGGCAATAAGGCTTTCAGATCTAAATTGGACTAGTTCTAGGCAGGCTCAGATGGAATTCATCAAAATTACATCTTACCCAACAATATATCCCTCCCATGTGATAAAACTATATGAGTTAATAGATAAGTGGACAAATTGGTATTCTGGTCAATGAATTAGACTAGTCAATTCAATTTTATCTTGTAATTAATAAATCATATATCTCATTAAACAAAAAAATCCATCTGCAAATCGATGAAGAATTGTAGGGTCAGGAAACTTTTAAAGAATGAATTTTGTTGAAAGTTTTAATTCTGCTTGTCTGTCTGTCTGTCTACAGTATATACATATATGGGCTGTGATGTAAACCTTCATTTTTTTATGCAATGCATTTTGGAACTGTGGCAGAATATTTCATAATGGTAATGGGGGAATAGCCGCACCTAAAAGAGAAATGCTGTGAGGAATTCTACCACTGGTATCCAAATCAAGAAAAATAACTTAAATACAATTTAAACAAAGTGACAACAAAATGGTAAGCACTATTCACCCCAATACTCACTTTCAGGGTGCAATTTTGTCCCATTTAGTTTTTAATGAAAAATTGGATAGAGAAATTTTTCCAATTAGTAGTAGAACAAAAATTCATCTAAGAGTTGGAATGATTGAATTAAATTTGTCTCTCTTTCTCTCTTTTTTTTCTCCTTTTTTTTCCCTGCCCCGTCCCACCAGTATAATTTAAAGAGACAACTTGAGGCATTTCATTTATAAATCAAATCATGCCTACCGCTTGCCTAATTAACACCAGCACAGCTGCTAATTAAATAGTTTACAATACCCAGCTACATAATTGGTCAACAGATTGAGTTAGGCCTTTGCTGCAGGCAGTAAGTACTTTTCAAACCTTGCATTCATAGCCTATTAATGGTTTATAAAATATTCAGGTAGACAAAAGTTCACATTTTTGGGAAATATGCTGTCAGCACCATTCATTTCTGTTTGGAGATTCTTTCATATCACTTTTCAATAATTCAGGAAGTAATTTTCTTTCTTTCTTTCTTTTTTCTTACTACCTTCCAATTTTAACTTCACTTGCTCCAGTGCTTCATTGTAACCAACTTATTTATTGTGATCCATGAGTTTTTTTTTTTAAAAAAAAATGCCTTATCCTAGCTAAGTTTGCACTAATTTCACATAATAATCAGTTCCCTGTATTTCTTTAATTGAAATCAGTACTGACTTATTTCCAATCTATTTAAATGATTAGGTTCAGCCACAAGAAACCAGGAAGAAAAGCAGTTAAAATAATTACAGGTTTATTGCATGTTAACACTCTACAAGTATTTGAACTAATAACAGTCAAAGCAAATTGGTAGTAGGTAAGAGTCAACAGAATTCAAGGTGGCAGTGGCTCAAGACTGATAATGCACTTGATCCCTCCCTTGACTCAGCCTGGTCATCTCCTACATCATGTTTAGAACTTGTATTATATATCAACATAGAGAGAGAGAAACATATAAAGAAGAGTGACCAATTATTCATTATATTCTTTTCATATTGTTTGTCTGAACTAAATGCATCCATTCACATTCACTTACAATATTATTTACATGTTTCTCAATTTGTTCATTTTCTTCATTTCGTATTAATTCATTCCTTCTTTTTCTTTCCTATCTCATTTGTTTGTAGCTTTATCTGATCAAATTATAGGAATGAAATATTAAAACTGATAAAATGTATCTATCCATGCTTAATTGCAAACATGTTATTTTTCCCTATAGCATTCTTTGTTCATCTAATGTTGTATCTTATTAACTTTCTGACAATTACTGTCCTCCAAATATAATTCTTAATTTTCTGACCAGAAAAGGCAAGTTCTTTTCTTCAGGTTGCAAGTAATTCAGAATTTATTAATGTTCACTAGATCAGAAGTATAATAGTTCACTATCCATGATGGCATTGTAGATGCTAGAATTTTTCATCATTATTTTAATATCATAATTTGTAATGTTTTGCATTTTATTCTAAAAATCCTGACGTTTATTCTTAATCAGCATAATTAATCCTATTTAACTGATTACACATAATATTTGTAAAGAAAATCAAATAATAAATGCAGATAGTCCTACTTTAACAATGGTAATTGGGACCAGAATTTCCATATCTAGATGACTCAATTGTGAAGTGTGAGTGCACCATTTAGCAATGGAAATTCCAATAGTTCCAGGTGCTGTCATTAAACAAATCACTGTGGATTGTTAAGCAAGGACATCATGTGATTTGCAATCCTCAGTCAGCTTCATCATTGATTTTTCCTTTAGGAAACTTGCAAAGAAGGTCACAAATGGGGATCACATGACTGTGCACCACTGCAATATCATAATTGGCTAGGTCTGCGTGCCTGAATCACAATTACATGACTGCAAGGATGCTGCCACAAATGTAAATACAAGAACTAGACATAAGTACCACTTGTTGGACTGTTATGAATCTGAATAGTCACTGAATGAGTGATCATTAAAGGAGGCATTATAATACCCATATAGTTATGCCCAGCTATTAAAAAGTGGAGAAAGTGCTAAATTATATTAAATTATAATAAAAATTATTCTCCACAGAAAGGATTTAGGCTTTTCTTAAGGAATTGCAATGATTCTTGTCTCAAGAAGAACTTTGTTATTCCTTGTGACACTATTTGGGAAGTCTTCCCCCAAATAGTGCCAGCCAGATGTGTTGGATTATAGTTCTCAAAATCCAAGAGTACTTCTCAAGAAATAATAATAATAAAAAAGCAGTCACTCAGATGTTGTCTGTTAGTGGCACCATAACCAAGCCTTCCACCAGTTACCTTAAAAACTGAGTTAATATACATTGGAAGAACTGTTGAATACTTGGACTCCGAGCTAATCAGGATCTTAAATAGCATCTGCAGTATTTTGCTGTAATTTTAGGAGGAAATAGTCTTTGGAGATTATGGGGAATTGATATGGTATCATCTTAACTGTACACATTGCTCAGTAATTGAACATGATTAGCCTGCATCGTTTAAAGCAGTGGTTCTCAAACTGTGGGTCGTGACCCCATTTGGGGTCGAATGACCATTTCACGCGGGTCACCAAAAAATGCAGTCCGCCATTTTTTCCTCCCTTTTCCTTAGCTGTGCTACTCCCTTTTATTCTATTGGCTTTTGAAAGCCAATAGAATAGACTCTCTTGAATAGAGTCTAATTCTATTGGCTTTCAAAAGCCAATAGGAATTCTCCAGGCTGTCTCTGCCCTGCTGAGCCCGCCAAAAGTCCCATTCTGCAAACGGTGCTGCACCAGTTGAGTAGTCCTCGACTTACGACCGGTTGAGTAGTTCTCGACTTACGACCAGTTGGGGGTCGCGGCATTAAAAAGGTTGAGAACCACTGGTTTAAAGTGTCTGCATCATCTTCAAGAGATGCGGAATAATTGACATGAAATTATAAAGATACTTACACTATAGTAAATCAGTTAAAACTGAAAATAGATACTCTTGGTCATTGCAAACACCATGAAATCTAATGACAAAACTAGATCCAGGAATATCCTTAAGACAGATACCTCTACTTCAGACCACTTTCTTACCTTGAGACCTCATCACATTTCACAGTATCTGTTTGTCTTAGCTTTCTGGATCCTTTTAGCTGAAAAGCTACAAATCATGACAAGATTATTCATCCTGTAGCCTAACAAAACCAAACATGAAATCACTTTTTAGCACTCCAGAATGCATTTTCATGAATTTATCACCAACTTCCTTTTTCCAGAGCTTATCTGATAGGAATTGATAGATATTTTTCATTCTTAGAAGATGTAATGCACAAATGCACCTCTCTCTTCTTTGTTTCTTAAAAAAAACCAAAGATATTTCTGGTAATTTTCTAATAACTTAATATTTTCAGATTTTTCAAAAACACATACCTACCATAAACAAATTTGGAAAAACCAATAAATGCACTGAATGTGATCCATTTAGCTTGAATCACTCGTCTGTATTATCTAACTCTGTATTTCCCAACCTTGGAAGCTTTGATATATGTGGACTTCAACTTCCAGAATTCCCAGCCAGCATGCTGATTGGGAAATTCTGGGAATAAAAGTCCACATATCTTAAAGTTGTCTTGTTTCAGAAACACTAATGTATCCCTTAAAGAAAAATGGTTTCCTTCTATTCTACGTATATTAGAAAGGATTGTGTAGGTAAGCCTTTGTAATACTTGATTACAGAGCCATTTTCATGTGGCTTTAATTTCCGGAGCCTGCTAACATTTTTCTTGCTGTTATCATAATCTTGTCATTTATGATGTCTTTGCTATTTGGCAAGAGGAAAAAAAATGAAGTCTGTGTTTACCACTGAAATCTTTGAAAACTGCACAAAAGTGAGAGTGGAATGGTTTTAATCCTGGCAGTAAAAGATAGAAATGGAAATTTTTTCTTACTAGTTCTCATAGATTCTGGTTTCCCATTTTGAAGTGTAATTTGTGATTCATCAAACAGAAAAAAGAGCATTAATCTGGATTAATTAAATAGATTTTACCCATAATAAGCACCTTTATCCCTTCCATTTTACTTTCATAAATATCAGTATAGTATTTTGTTTAAAGCTGTTTTTTTTCTGTACCACTATTTTTTTAATAATCCAATGGACTAAAAGATATTGTTTTAATCAAAATATAATTTATCTAAATTAAAAATTCAATGTGTTGCAAATGTTTTTGTTCACATTACAGACAGAAGTCTTGACATTATGTATGACATTATAATAATAAAATATAGAACAAAGACAGATTTTGCAAACTTTGTTTTACCATTAATGAAACCTTGCAACACTAAAATGACTCTTCATTTTAATAGAGTTTATGGGTAAATACATTTCTAAACACCTATTTATATTCAGAAAGTTTAAAAATATTACGTACTCTGATTAATTTCTTTTTCTTTTTTTCTTTCTTTCTTTTTTTCTTCTTTTTCTTTTCTTCCTTCCTTCCTTTCTTTCTTCCTCCCTCCTTCCCTCCCTTCCTTCTTCATTTTCACATAACAGTAATGTTTTGCTCTTTCTATCCCATTCACTATTCAATTGCAAATGTTAAAAGTATTTGACATCTTGGATTAACAAAGTAGAAGTTATTGGACCTACTGTTATGGAAAGATTAGCAAAGAAGAATTTCCCTCGACATCTGGGTTATTCAAACTTCTTTTAGTCATATAGAATCACCAGTACCATATTTCTCCGAAAATAAGACAGGGTCTTATATTAATTTTTGTTCCAAAAGACGTATTAGGGCTTATTTTCTAGTTAAATCTTACATGGTATTAAATGTGTCTGTCTGGCTAACAATCTTAACTGGGGCTTACTTTGGAGGTGGGACTTATAATATGACATCCTGAAAAATCATGATAGATCTTATTTTCATTTTGTGTCTTATTGGGACACAAATACTGTGGGAAACAAAGTATTATAGTCAATTGTAGTTCAGCTGTATTATGATATTATAAAATATGTAACAGTGTAAATATGATTACAAAATGGACTGTTTTTGAAAATATATCATCCCAATTCTAATAGTACTTTAATTTTACTAGGCAATATTTTCTATAAACATTTTGTTGAAATCTGAATTATGCATGTGAAATATTAAATACATATCTGAAGCAAGACTTAAGCACATTCTTCATTTATCATGTTGAATATTAGATCAGTCAAATAATTGGCAAACAATGCAACATTTGAATAAGCTTCATAATACAAAATATTTGGATTGTCAATTATATAATCAATCATTTGCTAATGAATGTTGTATTTTAAAATAGATAAGGATTCTATCTACATTTACCTACTCTGATCCCAACTGGCTGCAAAGAGCAAAAGTATCTTTCTGCCATAGTGATCACGGTTTTCTAACACTCCCGGGAAGCCATCAATCAGAGCTCGTTTGATCCCTGGATCATCAGCCTTGAAATTTTTAAACATATCCAGATTCAGCTGCCGATACTGGAAATACTGAGCCAATAATCTGAAGGCATCTGTTTGATGAAACTTTCTGGCTCGGAGAAATCTCAGGATGAAGGCATCATCTGTACGCAAGAATCCAATGTCAGGTCTTGTGATTATCATGTCCCTTACTTGCTGAATATCCTGGTGCAAAACATCTGGGTTTTCATTAAGTTCCAGACGGGCTTTCTCTATGATTTCTGGATTGAGTCCAGTATGCAAATGGGTCATGTCTTCAAAAGTTGCTTTTCTAAATCCTTGGCTTTAGAAATATGGTCAGAATATGTAATGGACCCATTCAACTAAGAGTATGTGGTGATCCATTCACGTTCATTTATCTCTTGCATTATATTGAGTGGAAAAAAATTCACAGGTAATTCCATTCATATTCCCAGAAATCCATCCAATGTACAAATTTGTATTTTCTGTAAAACAAATATATATAATATATATATATATATCAAAATCACTAATCATATGTGAATAAACAAAAATTGACTAAGCACATTTCAAAACTCTCTATCTCTCTTTTTATTGCCAGTATAGATCTGATTAAAATTGAACTATTTTGAATGGAATAACACATTGCCATCAATTCTGTGCCTCCCATACATTATGATGAAAATATAATTGCACTGACCTATCAGCACTGTAGATATCACATTGATTTAATATTTAGTATTATACTATTGTTCCTTATTTAACAAGAATAAAGTTAAAAATGAAGACTGAAAGTGATTTAGGTATTCTGAGAAATAATAACACTTTTTGTAAATAAAACCTGTTTTCTTCTTGCTAATGGAAATTAATTCCATTTGAGATCATAATTTCCAAAGAATTATACTCAGAACAGTTTCCAATATTTACACAGTTCTTACTAATCCTCTACAAGAGATTATTCTTTCAAACATGTGGAAAGGAATTTACACAAAACATAAATATACATGCACTTTGCACCACATCCTTTTGTGCAGTGTGCAAACCATTGCTCCTCTAGTAGGAATAAGTTTTTAACAATCACATCAACAAAACAGCCTTTGAGCTCCAGAACCTGCCCTCCCTTCCTTTTTTATCCTCTCCCATGCACTAAGGTGGATGAATTGCATTCATTCATCTAGTCAGACAGCCACAAGCCCTTAGCTGAAGACAATCTGAAGAAAACTATTCTAGAGAATCACACAAGCATGGCATTGCAACCTACATAATTGTTTCTGGTGAAACTCTGAAGCAAGATTAGAAATGATTTCTATTGAAGACATGCAAATTACCTAATCACACATTGAGGTGATTCAGTCAGTTCCTTCTAGAGCAGTGGTTCTCAACCTTTTTATTGCCGTGACCCCCAACCAGTCATAAGTCGAGGACTACCCAACCGGTCATAAGTTGAGGACTACCAAACCAGTCATAAATCGAGGACTACCCAACCAGTCGTAAGTCAAGGACTTTCCCTACCCAGGAGCGCCGCGCATGCGTGGTGCCACCTCCTGCGCCGGCTGAGGCATAGCTGGCAAGGGGCAGCGACGGCGCAGGGTGACCACCGGCTGGGCCACCAGCTAGCCCAGCCCAAGGGAAGTAAGGCACCCGCCGGGCCCTACGCGCACCAGCAACCCTCCCTGCACCCACCAGCCTCCCACCTCCCACCCCTGGCCCTCTTTTACTTACATTTTTAGTAGCCCAGACAGCTCCCCTTCGCTGCAGACAACTTGCAGCACCGTTTGCAGAATGGGACTTTGTGGCGGGCTCAGCAGGGCAGAGACAGCCTGGAGAATTCCTATTGGCTTTTGAAAGCCAATAGAATTAGACTCTATTCAAGAGAGTCTATTCTATTGGCTTTCAAAAGCCAATAGAATAAAAGGGAGTAGCACAGCTAAGGAAAAGGGGAAAAAATGGCGGACTGCATTGTTTGGCGAACCCCATGAAATGGTCGTTCGACCCCAATGGGGTCACGACCCACAGGTTGACAACCGCTGTTCTAGAGAGATTCCTGGACTCCCACATCTCCCACAACTTTCCACATATTCCAATGCAGAGAATCAAAGGGATCAGTCTCCTCTGTTGAAACAAATTTCTATGTGTCTTTATATGTGTGTGTGTGTGTGGACTGCAACACATATAGGACTCAAATAATTTATCTATATCTATATTGATGAGAAATTCACATATCTATCGTAGATTGAAAGAGGGGGAGGGGAGGGGAGAGTAGAAGAGAGGAAGAGAGACTATAGTGAAAGTGAAAGAAAAATAATTCCATTTTCATTCTACTTTCTTTCATTTCTACTTTTCTTTCAGGTCCATTTTTCTCCTAGATTTATTCTTGAAGTACCATATAATTCCCTGTCACCCTTGCATTCTCATTAATTCTCTCAGTCTTTCATCATAAACAATTAAACTAGTCACATTTTTAAATCTGTTCTCTTTCGTGTTACACATGAACAACCTATGCTTGAACCATGTATCCAAAACAAATAGAATGTCTGAGCAGATGATCATCCATCAAATTGTCATTGGCTCTTGAATATGCAAAATGGCACAGTCACATTTTTTAATTCTCTTTCTTACTTTCTCACCCATTCATCAGAAAGGATTTATTTTCCTCCTCAAGTATGATGATTATAGGTACTAGTCAGGTATATGATCCTATGCCTGCAGAAATTGAACCCAGATGTCACTCTTCCTTACAAGATGGCAAAAAAACCCTGAGTGCTTCCAAAAGAACAACAATTCAGGACAAGAATTAGTGAGACTGCATCAAAAATGACTTTCTCTTCTACGGTTCCTTCTTGAGGAAGCTAAGTGAGTTTCCCCTGATAAACACAGAGACGACTCCAGATCCAGGGATAACTGATATACTAGTTAGGGGTTAATAAGCTTTAAAGTACAAAGTTCTTCCATATAAATGTCTTATCCATAGAAGCATAAAGACAGACTGGACCTTAGTAAAAGTTTTACTTGTACTGCATCTTAGTTATTATTAATGCTGGACTCTGAGGATCTTATATATAATCTATTCAACTATCCAAAAAGGACAGCTCACATGCCTTCCCTGAGTTAGCCCTGCTAAGTCATTGTTTATTTGTTTATTACACTTATATGTCTAGATGTAAGCCTAGATGTATATGTTTGTGGGTAAATCCTGTGCTATGTTAAGCAGCTTTTGATGGTATTTCAATAGACCATAGGAAGTCACAGTAAATGTCAGTCTTTACCAATTGTGCTGGTGAAAAGAAAGGAAAAAAGAGCAAAGGAAGGTGTGCTAGATAGATGGCAGCTGATAATATTTCCAATTGCATGTGTGGTACCGAAGAGGTTGACTTGTACTAGCAGTTAAATCTTTTCACATAAGTAAATGAAATGTCAGGTTTACTGTTTTGGTGAAATTCCCCATTTTACATGAGCACATATAAAATCATTAAAAAGTCAGTACTACACATTCATTTTCACATCCTTCTTTCATTCTAACATTTGGCGTTAAGGCAACATGTAGGAAGCCAGAATAATCAAAATTCTTGATAGTATTACTAAATATAAACTGCTATTGGCCATTATAATATGTTCATTTAGTGGCTGAACTATGCCTACTAGTTGTTTCATTCATAAAAATTCGTGAATTCTATAAACCAATTAAACAAAAATGTGATTAATTTTCAGCTTTAACAATTAACATTTATCCTTAACAATATAAATTGCTACATGTTAATTAACCTAACAAAGCTTTAGACTCCTATCCTGTTGTTATAATCTGTTTACAAAATGTGAAGACACAGCTGCCAAGTCTTTAGTATGAAACCATCAAACCTAGGATGTCATAATGTATCAGCTGATCCAAGTAGTGTGGCCTTTTACAGATTGACAGATGAAAATTTTATCAATGGGAAGATTTTCTAAGTGCCATTCAAGATTTTTGTTTATGCCATAATGTTTCAGTTTCAATTTTCATATCTTGATACTTTGTGATCTTGTCTGATTCTTTGTTTATCTTTCTACTATTCCCAGGTTTTGCCACATCAATTATCCCACACTTTCTTCTTTTCAACCAGTTATATATGGTGTGTTATGACCCAGGACTTTATCAGTCTACATTCAGAAATACCATAATATTTTAACATGTTCAATTTTGACTTCTATTTCAACTATATGTACCCACCAATTTTTCATTATTAGCACATATTTTTACATATGTTCCAGTGAATCATTTTGGCAAATGTGCTATGTTGTTTATAATTAATTTGTATGATCTTCTAGCTGAATGCATGATCTACTCTTTCTTCTGCTTCTTTGTACAATCTGCACTTTGAATCACTTAAAGCTTTTTCAGTTTTGGCCTTGATTGCATTTGTTTGAATAGCTTGCTCTTGCACAGCCAAAAGCAAGCCTTCAGTTTCTTTTTTAAAATATTATATAGTAAGTTCTAGTCCTGGCTTAAATACAAAATCAGCTAGGTGACCTTGGTTAGTCACTTTCTCTCAGCTCTAGAAAGGAGGCAATGGCAAATTATTTCCAAATTTTTTCAAGAAAACTGCAGGACTTTCTAGGCAGTTTCCAAGAATCAGAACTAACTTGAAAGCACATCCCCCTGCAAAAAAAGAAAGAAAAAATACAAACATACACAAACACATTTACCACTTAATCCTGCAAAGATTACGTGTGAGAAGATATCTACAGTATTTAATTGGAAATTGACTAAATGTTATAGTTACTGATTGTACAAAAATCAGTAACTGTGTTTACAAAAAACCCCTACAGTATCTTAATGTAATATTTGTCTTCTCACAGCAACAGATATCAAAGTGTTTAAAATTTGTTATAGTTCAAGGGATTAAAAATGAAAAAAAATCTAATATATCTGTTATATTTCTTTGTCATTTCAAACTTTGGGGAACACTCCCTAACTAGGCTAGAAATGACTTAAATTTTAATCAAATGATCTGAAGATCATTTACGTTTGAAAAACTGTGATTTCTATTTATTTTGCAATTCTAACATAATATGTGATTTGTATTGGCAAATGTTTGCTGTAATAACTACTATTACACCAATTATAATTCTTGCATTTATTTATTTATTTATTCCTTTTTTTTCCTTTTACAAATAAGTCAAGGTGGTAAACAATCAAATACACCTTCTTCTTCCTATTTTCCCCACAACAACAAGATGGCATAGATTTCCAGTAGATATAGATATATAGATATCAATCTATATAGATTTATGTAGCAATAATTGATGTTTGTCATTATTATAAGTTCAGGCCAGTGATTCACTGTTTAAGTGGAACTAATCAACTAAATGTTGTCATAATGGCAGATGTTATTGGTTTGCTTGTTCAAGTTATATCCCATTTTTCCTTCAGGAGCACAAGATGGAATGTTGAGTTGAAAAGTAATGATTGGCTCAGAGTAACCCAATGAGCTTCTATGGTTTAAATCTGGCTCCTCCTAAACCACTGCTTCTAAACCATTATTATATCATTATATTACACTGAAGCTGTTTATTGAAATTTTTTGGTTTAGAAGTCATCAGTTATAAATTGTTTGTCAATAAAGACAACAAATGTTCATACACACACCCAAACAGGTTCTGTACTATGTAGCAAATCTATCTCTCAATTAATATCACTATATCAGTGATGGTTTTGAAGGCCCAATTCTGTTGTTTTGAATTGACAAACTATGCTTAATTACATTAATATGTTATTGATAATCTAGTTTCAAAAAGGTTAAAGAGCCAAAGCAAAACAATTTCCATGCAATGACAATCAAATGATCAGAAAGCATTCTCTCTCTCTCTTTAAAAAAAAATCTATCTTGCATTTTGATTGTTTGGTTCTTGATTTTCAGAAGAGGGATGAGTCAACAAAACAGGGGAATTATCAATATACCCGCTATAATCTCATTAAAAATGACAGGCACAACAATAGCTTAATCGCTGAAAACAAACCAGGAAAAGAATTTGTTTAACAATACCCTGTTACTAGCTGAAGGAGAAAAACGCATACCCTGTTCTGCATGACATCATGTTGTTACATAACATCATTTTACTTGTTGGCTCTGCACTAACTTTTAATGTACTGGGACAATCTGTGTTATTGTCTCATTATACCATGTAACCACAGGGAACTTCTCTCTCCATGTGTGTCTCATGTTTTTCTGTCCCTTCCAAATATAAACCAACTGCATTTAAGAACAAAGAACAGCCATCTGTTCTTTAACTTTAGATTATTGTTTTCATCCATTTTCCTCAAAGATAAGCCCAATAAAAAACTGCAGTATTAGAAATATATTGTAAAATAATTGTTTTATTCCATTGCATTAAGATATATTTATTAAAATCTTGACTTTTATATCTCATAAGGGGGAAAAATACAGTAAATCATTACTTTCTACAGTAAAGTAAAAAAGATGAGGTAGGTGGAAGAAATTCACCCTCCTATTTATTGAGTGATAATAATTTCTCATTTAGAAGTGATTTGAATTGTTCCTTTTTTGGGGGGGTTAGCATCTCTTCGAATTTAAGAGTTATGGAAGCAGACAGCAAATTATTTAAAAACAGCTTTTGCCTGCTGAACTTTACAATTGCCATACTTCCTTGCTGAGAGACACATCCATCCTCTCAACACACCTACCCACCCACACACACACTATTCTAACTCTCCTATAATTTGACCTTTTTTTCTAAATTGTAACCTTCAATTGAACTTCCTCACTTAAGGCTCCTAGAAATATTAGTATATACGTGTGCATGCATGTACACATGTGCTTATTTTTTCTGCTCTCCTCTGAGAATTTTAAGGTGCTTGAATTTAACCACTGTGGGAGTTTAAAGGGGGAAAAAAGCCACGGGGGGGGGGAGGAAGAAGAGTTGGGTGGTGTGGGAAGGAAAGCTTAAGAACAGATGGATTTCAGACAAGAGCTGTCCACATAAGATAGTGCTGAAACGCCGCAGCCATGGCGTGGAGAGGGAGAGGGAGAGGGAGGGAGAGGGAGGGAGAGAGAGAGAGAGAGAGAGAGAGAGAGAGAGAGAGAGAGAGAGAGAGAGAGAGAGAGAGAGACTGGGAAGAAACAAAAGCTACTGCAAGCACAGAAAAGATGCATCTCAAATACCTTTAGAGTGCCATAAAGCTTCACCCTGGATGAGGTTCTTGGTTCATAGATAGGGATGGGTGTAAGACAGCTTTCGCTTTTTGCAGCCTCAACTGAAGATCTCTCTAAAGAACTGTGAATGAGCAAGCTCTGCCTCCACGGAGCTATGCATTTTTGTATCGGATGAGTGTGTGTGCTTCTCCACACGGTAGCAGTCATCCCTCTGGGTCCTAAAAACCTTATGTCTTCAATTCAGTCTTATAACAGAAGAACACAATGCACACATGACAATAAGATCCTGCCTGTGTGACAGATGATTCCAGAAATGCTTGTTCATGAGAATGATGCAGAGAACGATATAGGGATATGTAAAAAGAAGAAGAAGAAGAAGAAGAAGAAGAAGAAGAAGAAGAAGAAGAAGAAGAAGAAGAAGAAGAAGAAGAAGAAGAAGAAGAAGAAGAAGAAGAAGAAGAAGAAGAAGAAGAAGAAGAAGAAGAAGAAGAAGAAGAAGAAGAAGAAGAAGAAGAAGAAGAAGAAGAAGAAGAAGAAGAAGAAGAAGAATGGAGCCCTTATGAAAAAGAGGCTGATGCTGCAATGCTGAATGTCCCGACTCCTATAAATTCAGTGTTTGTGTGTGTTTGTTGTTGAACCTAAGGCAGTTGGAGGTATGATCCTGAGAACAGAAATATCATCTCTTTTTCTTATTGCTACATGTTAGAAAGAACACTAATAAAGTGGGAAAACCACCATCTGCATAGCAACTGTGTGTTCCCAAAGGATGTATTTTGCTCAGAACCAGCAATTTAAAATGTCATTAAAATTCAGCAGCTGACAAAAAATTAAATCTCCATAAAACATCTTCCTTTTTTTCATTGAGAAATTTCCAGGTTCTCACCAGACACAATTTCTTCATACAGTAAGATTGGAGAATGGTATATTATCAGCGTCATGGTCTCTATATACAGAGATAAAAGTAGGGGGGAAATGCAAGGAATTACTGCAGGGATAAATTTCCAGCTTAGTCCAAAATCAGAATTTAATGGTGGAATTCTGACTAATTTGCAGTATAGCATAAAGGACCTCCAACTGCCCTATATTTCACAACAATGAAAAAAGATCCCCATACTCTAAATTACATTGCTAAAATATGGAATATTTGAATAATGGGGTTGGGGTGTTGTGCCTATGAACCACAAATCCCATCCACTTCTAGTATTCAGGACACATTCCTGGTCTCATATCTTCTTTAAGTTTGTATACATTGCTTTAAACCTAAACCAGTAGATATTCAGGATTCTAAGGTGGGATGGGAACTAAAGTTGTTCCTGCAAGCTTCATGATTGTTGGTATTTATGCTTAATAAAATATTATTTGGAGTTAGGAATATGGCCCAAATCTCAATTCAGTATAATAGAACAACTATTAGATTCACACATTATGATAAGCTATGGGTAGTATTAACCAATGCCTGCTTAAACAAGCATAAGATTAAGAAAATATACAGAAGCAGGAGGAGGAGCAAATCTGAGTTGAGTATTATTATGTTAATCTTCTTCTTCTTGCGCCATATCCGTTATCAGAGGTTGGTGGTAATGCAGCCACATGAAAAAGTGCTGCTGAGTTTTGTCCAAACCAGCCCCTTAGATTTTGAAGCCACGATGTTCTTCTTCTGCCTGGACCTCGTTTGCCTTCAATCTTTCCCTGCAGGATTAAATGGAGTATGCCGTATTTTTCTGGGTGTCGCATCACATGTCTGAAATATTCTAATTTTCGTTTTTTAATTGTTTTGATGATTTCCCTTGGCTTTCCCAGGTGGCTTATCACCTCCTCATTTCTGATCTTGTCAGCCCAGCTTATACATAACAGCTGCCTGTAAATCCACATTTCAAATGCTTCTAGTCTCTTCAGGTGGCCTTCTGTCAGAGACCAACTCTCTACTCCATAGAGCAGGATAGAAAAAATATAGCATCTGACAAGCCTGATTTTCAGTCTTAGGCTTATGTCGTGACTTCAGAAGACCTTTTTCATTTTGAAGAATGTTGTTTTCTATCCTTGTCTTTACTTCAACGATCATATCCCAGCTTTCATGTAAATTGGAACCAAGGTGTGTGATCCTTTCAACCTTTTCTAGTGGTATTCCTTCTGAATTTATTGGTGGTAAATTAACGGGTTGTTTGCTAATGACCATGATCTTGGTTTTTGAGGTGTTAAGCTTCAAGCTGTATTTTTCTGATGTTTCTGTGACTCTGTTGATGAGGAGCTGAAGGTCTTCATGCTTACTGGCAAGCAGAACTGTATCGTCAGCATATCTTAAGTTGTTGATCCAAACATCATTTACTTTGATGCCAGCATTGATGTTCTCCAGTGCCTCATTGAAGATTGACTCAGATATTGAAGACAGAATACATCCCTGTCTGACCCCTCTTCTTATTTCTGCATCAGCTGAGTATTTTTAGCCTAGTCTCACATTTGATACCTGATGCCAATACAGATTCTTTATTATTTGAATGTCTTTGTCATCTAGTCCCCCTTGTTTCAGGATTTCTAATAGTTTGCTGTGTCTTATTTTATCTAAAGCTTTTTTGAAATCAATGAAGCATATGTAAGCACTGTGATTGACATCTCTACAATGATGTACAAGAACCTGATGTTCTTGTTATGATGTAATTATGATGTTGTATTAACCTTATGTTAATACAACATCATAATTTGCTACGGTATCTAGTATTTTACTTCACTATTGAGATATGTAGCACATATGAAATCTGCGTACCAATCTCTAGACTAGTCCATTAGTCTCTAGACTAATGGAAGATCTTTGCTATTCTAACACAGGATGTAATGTTTCTACCTCATCTTCAAAACAACAAATAAGTTGCAAGAATACCATAATGACAGCACTCACATGCTGTATTTAATGTGCTTTATTGCTTTAATGTGCTTTATATTTTTTTCTACTGATTTACATTTTTCTTTTTCATTTTTTTATTTTTATTAAGTTCAAAAAAACAAAGAGAAAGAGTAAGTAACATAAAATTATAAGTGAATTAAAGCAAAACAAGAAAAACTATACAAGAATATATTCAGTTTCATTTAGATTCTACAGAAACATTTGAATGGTAACCATATTTCATTATAATAGTCCACAGCTAATCTGCATCAATAAGTAATTCACTTATTGTTAATAAAATTAACTCTTCATACCACTGAATATTTGGGATTATAGAGTTATTTTTTTCAATAGGTTTCTCCTTTAAATCATAAGTGATTGAACTATAAGTAAGACTTGAAGAAATCACTTTCTTCTCCAGATATTTAAATTAGACACTTGTTTAAATGGTTCTATTATTGAGGTTGCATGCATTCATTCTCTCTCTACTTGGGGTTTGTATATATTTTAGTTTTAATTAATTTAATTATTTTCAGTTTTTAATGTTGTTTTGTATTTTTAAATGCCTACATTTATGCATGTATTGTTTTTTATTGATTATCCATAATCCCTTTTTATGAAGATGTGCAGTTAATTCATATAAATTTGATTAATAAATATCTAACATATTCCTACAATATTTATTTTGATGTATTAAAAGAAACATAGAATTAAATAAAGAATTAAAACTGCTGGTTACCAACCATGGAGATCTACAAATCTGATAGATGACAAAATATGTATCACAATGTCATAATGCAAAGTCTGTACCTTTTGTACTTGCGTCATGGCTTTGTGTGCAACTGCATATGGGGCAGAATTTCTAATATAGATACAGTTGATATTGTGCAAAAATTCCAACCCGTGATAGAAATATCTGCATACAGAATTCTGCAAACAGTTTCTATTTTTTCTCATGGTCCTTTGCTATTTTTAAATAACTGGCTTGCTATATATTAGTGTACTATATAAAACTCATATGAAATAAAGTACGTTTAACTTAAGCTGCAGTTATAATGCTACTCATTTTTGTTTCATTTTATTCTGCTCTTATATTTTTTCTCTTGAAAGCTTGGATGAGTTACTTAGTAGACAGATGGTATTTATTTATTTATTTATGAGACTTATATACCGCTTTAAGTGCAAGCACTCTCTAAGCGGTGTATACCAGTAAGCAATGTGTATATATATATATTACATTGCCCCCAACAATCTGGGTCCTCATTTTACCTACCCCGGAAGGATGGAAGGCTGAGTCAACCTTGAGCCGGTGAGATTTGAACCGCTGACCTGCTGAACACAGTCAGCTAAAGTGGCCTGCAGTACTGCACTCTAACTGCTGCACCACCTCGGCTCATTTGACATTCACCTTATTACATGAATCATCATTCTTTGAGAGAAGATGTAGGTAGGCAATTTTGAATCTTGTCAAATATACATAGAATACATATACATTATATTATGGTAGGCTGCACTGTTGGCCAGTTGTTTAGACTGAATTTGACATTTAACTCCAGTGAACTGGGAAGACTTATGTTAGGAAAATATTTGTTAGGAAAAACAAATGTTATAATCTTAAGAAGTTTTGTTTGAAAGACTACACTTTCTTAAGGATAATGTATACAGAGATTTTTTTGTTCATTTTTAATCATCTTTTCTTTTATATAAGGCACTAAAACAAATGATAATAAGGCGCTGGCTTCTTCTGAAGCAGAAGAGGGAATGTTTCATTTTAAAGACTATCAGTTTGTTGTAGCAAAGAGTAAATAATGGCAGTCCATGCTTCAAAACTTTATTTAGATTTCATAGAGGTACAAGCAAATATCTTTTTGCTGTTCACAAGAACTCAGCTTGAAAAAAAGATGATGCTGCCTTAATGAAGTAATAAAAATGTTTTCAATAAAATCTTTAAAGCAACTGTATCTTTTTTAGTCTGTCAGGAAAGTTTAAAAAAAATCTCATAACCACTTTAATAAATAGTAAATTGATGTTGTGTTTACACAACATGAATTACTTTGAAGCATCCACTCTTCTTATAAATAATCTAAATATACTATACATCTAGAATTTTCAACCCCAATTCTATAGCCTCAGACGTTTTTCTTCTTCTTCCTGTGGAATTATAAACCTGAAAAGTTCATTTGAAGATATGTGGATATTGTACTGCATATAAAATATACAGTAGTTATTCTAAGGAAAGCTTATATGGTGTGCTGTACATAGGCAACAAGCAATGGAAATAATGTTTAGTGCTTTATTTCTATTCAGTTGAACAAAGCATTTTTCTCTCTTTATGCTATAATTAGAACTTATTTTCTGAAAAGAAAACATGTGTTTCAGGTAATGGTAAAACCCTATAAAATTATACGAATCATCATTCTTTGAGAGAATATGTAAAATATGAGTTGAAGAATCCCTTTACATTAGAGGATGGACCAACATATGTGGATGGCATTCCAGTGTGATGATCATATCTTGTGTGGTATTCAATAACTTGGAAGTTTAATTTTGGACTTAGAATAACAGTAGAAGTATGATTGGCATCCTTTGTTTTCATTCATGAGAAAGGTATAAAATGCTTGAACAGATTTTGTGTTGGCTTATTCCTTTGTTTGTGTTTGTGCCTGCTTCTTCTTTCCTTTTTCCAGAATCTTGGGTTTTCTTGAAACTCCACACCCTAAACGTAGTAAGGATAACTGCCTGAGACAGCAAATTATGGGAGAAGTAACCTTAAAGCTAACAAGGCTGTGTATGAGCCCTAACCCTAATCCTTGTTTTAGTTTGCTGCATTGCTAACACGCCAGGGCTAGAATAAGATTATTTAATAGCCTTGTCAGCTTAAAATGTGGAATGATGGGAAGGGAAGACAGTGGCAAACTCCCTTGAACTGGCCTGAATGCTGCCACCTTCCCTGCCACCAATGGATCTTTCACATTTGTATTGGAATAGTCCTCCCATTTGCCTGGGCTCATAATTTCTAACAATGATATTTTTATATTCTAGTTTAGTATTAAAAGATGAGGAAGAATAGGATGCCCTTGCCAGATAAAATTATCCAAAAGGATTATCAAAAGGATTTTCTCAGCTGAGGTTTTTTGTTAATAGAAAAGAGCTAATGCTCTGATGTAACCTTGGTGCTCACAGCAGTGGCTTTAGCATCTCTCCTTCCAAACATATCTGTATTTTTTTCTCAGATCAAGTTGAAGTATCCTCTGGACGTATTCATGATGTTTATTATTTTTACTATATTACTATTTCTAGCAAATGTTTTAGCAATTTTCTGTACTTTTAATTACTTTGCAATCCATTCAGCTATTGGGCAGATTAGAAATTTTTGTTACAATCAAGTAGTCATGGTTCTTCCTCTGAAGCTTCCCAATTGTACGGCTAAATCCAACAATATTCACGTCCTTTTGCTGTTTGGAATTTGATACTTTATTCATCTAGAAAGGTAATTCACTGGAACACCTTTATATATGTGAGGCAGGTATTTGTGGCAGTTCTCCAGTCTCTGATAGTAGCAAGGAGAACTCATTCTGAGGATTTAAGGGGCTTTGGAGATTTTTCTAGGAAGAGCGGTCTCTGAAAGAGAAGAAAACAGTCACAGCAAATGGAGTTATTGTGAGGAATGGAATCTGATTATACAATTGTCTGTAAGCTCCTTTTCTATTCTTTGCTAAACACTGCAGAAAACATGCTAGCTATATTGGTGCTTCCCAAATATGTCCCTGCATTCTGAAGTGCAATGGCACCAGGGAACTGCATTTTAAAATTAAAACTGTATAATTTTTAAATGTATGTACAGTATCTGCTGGCCATAAAAACAATATATATGATAAATTTGGGCTGTGGCTGAGAGATTTCGAAGTAGTATCACCAAAAACTAATTGAGCTTTGTAAAATTCATGAAGCTTTGTTTACAAAGCATCGTAATTATTATTGGATAAAAACTTTATGTGGATGTAAATACACATGCACAGTTTCAATTTAGCTGAACATTGAAGGATTGTATTATACCGAGGATTGTGCCACTGCAATGAACAGATGGAGAACATGACCCTTTTTGAAAAAAGCCCTGCAGTTCATACAATTGAGGTTGAGTAGCTTCTGTGCTGAATAGAATCAGTGTGCCAGTTTTTCACATATAAATCATAGCAAATCAATAAAGCAATATTGATTTACCTCTCCTAAGGAATGATTCGTTTTGCTTACCCTACTCTAGGGACAAATAAATGTGCTACTACAGAATAATAACACCACATAGGACAGGAAATGAAGGTGATAGTTCAATACTGAATCTCTTTCCCAGTGTTTTAGTTCTTTCAATTAAAATAAATTAGAATAGAATAATTGGAATAATTTATTTAATTAGAATAAATGTATGACATGCAATTCAACAGGAATATTGTATTGATGGAAGTAAGGATATAGTATACAAAGTATATTTTTTTCACAGTATATAAGAAGGTTTTCCACCTAATTTTAAATTCGAGTATACCTGTTCCACACTCATATTATCTTCTATTCAAATATAGTCATTGGATACGAGATGGGTGGCAAATAATAAAATAAAATAAAATAAAATAATAAATAAAATAAAATAAAATAAATTTCTTGGATTTAGTGCTGATATGTGAGATGCTTTTCCATATTTCCAGCTGGAGACTGGAAAGTCCAATGGAGTTATTGTAATTGTCATTTCCATCAGACATGTTGTTTTAGTCATTAAGATTTTTAGTATTTATTTTTAATTATTTAATCTGTATCCTACTTTTATTATTTTACAGATAATTCAAGGCAGCATTCATTCATTTTTATTTTCCCAGACAGAAAGGTACACATTGGGTTTAACTAAAATTGCTAAAATAAAGTTGACTTAAATCATCCTGAGTCCTGAGTGGCAGTATTACAAGTCTGCACACTAGTAGATCCCAAGACATGGTGGTGGAGGGAACACTGTGGTATAAGCAGCTTTCATCTTTATAAATTGGTCAGCTTTTTCATTACAGGCAGTCAGAAAAAGAGGCCAAAGCCATAAAAGTGTGACATTTCACTCTATGAATTTGCCTGAAAAAAGGGGGGCTGTTTAGATCAATATTTTTCAAACTTGGCAACTTTAAGATGTGTGGACTTCAGTTCACAGAATTTCTCAGCCAGTACGACACTGGTTTAGATTATTCTGTCTGTCAACCCTGTTCTGCTCAGTTTTTGGAGAAGGATTCTGTTGACGAAAAGAAAGACTTTTGAATCATTCTTCCACCAATTGGATTAGAAAGAAGGCAGAGCATAACTTCCAGGAAAGTTTCCAAATCTTTCAGCAGCAGTTGCCACTGGAAACCAAAAGCCCCTGTTCTTTATTTTTTTTCCCAAAATTTATGGAATTGTGAAAAAATATGGAGGTAGGGAAAGCATGCAATGCTTGCTGAAATTATGAAAGCTTATGAAACCAGAGGAGGGAGCTTAGAATGGAATACAGGTAGTCCTCGACTTAAGACAAGTTACTTTGGTGACTATACAGGTAGTCCTCGACTTACAACAGCTTATTTAGTGATTGTTCAAAAAGGAACTTATGACCATTTTTCACATTTACAACACTGCAGCATCCCTGTAGTCACATGATCAAAATTCAAATGCTTGGCAAATGGTTCATATTTATGACGGCTGCAATGTCCCAGAGTCATGTGATCACCTTTTGCAGCCTTCTGACAAGCAAAGTCAATGGGGAAACCCACTTAACAACCGTGATACTAAATTAACAACTGCAGTGATTCACTTAACAATTGTGGCAAGAAAGGTCATCAAATGGAACAAAACTCACTTAACAAATGTTTCACTTAGCAACAGAAAAATTGGCTCTATGGTGGTCATAAGTTGAGGACAACCTGGATGTCAGCAGTGTGCAGCAGCAGTCAAAAAAGCTAATACAATCCTGGGTTGCATAAACAGAGGCATAGAATCAAGATCACGCAAAGTATTATTAACACTTTATAAAATCTAGTGAGACCACACCTGGAACACTGCAGCCAATTTTGGTCACCATATCACAAAAAGGATGTTGAGAGTTTGGAGAAAATTCAGAGAAGAGCAACTAAGATAGTTAAAGACCTGGAGACTAAAGCATATGAAGAACGGCTGCAGGACTTGGGTTTGGCTAGTCTAAAGAAAAGAAGAAATAAGGGATACATGAAAGCAGTATTCCAGAATTTGAAGGGCTGCCACAAAGAAGAGGGCATCAAACTATTCTCCAAAGCACCAGAGGGCAGGACAAGAAACAATAGTTGGAAACTGACCAAAGAGAGAAGCAACCTGGAAATAAGGAGAAAAGTCCTGACAGTGAAGACAATTTACCAGTGGAACAGCTTGCCTCCAGAAATCGTGGGTGCTCCCTCACTGGAGATTTTTAGGAAGAGTCTAGATAGTCACTTGTCTGAGATGGTATAGGTTCTCCTGCTTGAGAAGAGAGCGGAACTAAAAGACCTCCAAAGTTCTATTCTATTCTAGTTGCAACAGACCTACCTCGAGGGTACTAAGGTTGGACCCCACCACAGTCACATGACTGCGCTTGACAACCAGGCTACACATATGACCATTTGCAGAGTCCTGCAGTTATGTAACCATGTTTTATGATGGTTTTGCTGAAAACTTGCACTTACTTTCAATTTTCACAAAACTGAACCCATAATAAATCATTGGTTCATATGAATTTCCAATCATGGTGATTTACTTAACAACTGCTTTAAAAAAAATCATAAAATCAGATCAGTCACATGACCAACCAAGTTTATGAGTTATCACCGTGATGAGCAGGCTTCATTACTCTTATAATCAAGGACTATCTGTGGTCAACGACAATCTGAACAGTTGCCCAGCTTTCTTTCTCAGAGAGAGAAAGAGAAACTGCACTATGGGAATTTTTCTGCATTTCTGTCTCTGCAACCCCTGCTAAATCCAGTCTACATTCCTATTCAATTTTTCTTTTGACCACATTGCCCCACAGTTCTCATGAGGAAGGGTATCCAGAGTCATCAGCTACTTTATATCATTTATTTCTTATATTCTGTGTGGTGCAGAGAATAATAAAAAAGAAAAAAATACCTTAGAGAGCTATATGTCAAGCAAGTACGTCAATGTTATTTTGAATTTTATTCCCAGAAGGGAGTAGAGTAGAAGACAAGTAACATGCAGCAGTGAAGAGCCAGGTAAAGAACGGACACAAGACCACTGAAATCTACTATCTGGTGAAGCTAATTGAAGGAGAAACCAAATACTGACTTTCAGGCAAGGCTTCTTGGTACAGTCAAACTCTAGTTGTGGATGCCTGACTCAGATGGATACCATATTACTATAAGTATTTTTCACATAAATAAAAGGAATGTCATATTTCTCACAAACAATAATTTTGGCATAATGGTATGTATTGCCTTTTATTATGGTTCATTGCAGTCAGCCAGATGTTCTGACTGCATTTGGTATTTTTGTCCGCCTATAGTGTCCTTCTCGAGCATCTGGGACAGGCAGCTATTGTCGCAGGATATAAGCTGTTCCAAGCAATGCTGCCTTTTGCAACTGACAGATGCAGACATCATTTATCCATGCTAATGGTGTTCAAGTAGTGCTCTAAATGTTTTGGGATGGCACCCTAAGCACCTGCTACTATTGGTACTACTCCTTTCTTTTACTACAGTTGTTCTATTTGCAGGTCTTTATATTCTGTTAATCTTCTTCCGTTCTTTCTCTTCTCTTCTTCTGTTTCCAGGTACTGCCACATCCACTATCCAGACCTTTTTGTCTTTCTTATTGACAATTGTTGAGTTAGTTAGTTATTGTTATTGTTTCAATTTTTATTTCACCATTTTGTCCAGAGTGAAGAAATCTATTTCCTTCTGGTTATTTTAATGTCATATTACCGTTATCATGATAAGTAGAAAGTAAACCAAGAACAGATCATTGGGCAATTTGCATAGATCCACAGGGTGACTAACTCCACTTGTTCCAATAAAACCAATCAATAAAATGTTTCCTAAATTAGGGAAGTCACGAAGCATTATTTTGCATATGACTGTGCTATGAACACCTTATTTTAAGTATTTATATTGAAAATAATGAATAAAATACACATGCTGGAGCTCCACCTCTTGACCCACTGTTTTGCATTATTTTCAATCTTAAGTTTCCATTTTTAAATAGGTTTATATGAAGGATGGAAGAAAACACACACAAACTAAGGTCTGCATATCACTGGGCTCTTAACCTGAGTCATCCGTACTTTACCATGTTTGGCTATGTTGATCTTCAAAATTGTACATTTTTACTTCACTAAGGCTTTAATCATTCCATTGTTCCCCCGTTTGTTATTTGATTAATTATTTAGGGGAGGAATTTGGCACTGGTTTTTTTTTAGTTTTTCTAAATCATTCTTAGTTTTGGGGAAAGAGCTCCCCCTCCCAAGTTAGCCTTTCACTGCCATGGTTCCTCCTTACTGATTTTCTAAATCTATACAAATATACCCACACAGCTTAGTAAATTAGTACTACTGAATTAATATAATAGCATGAGAGGCTGAGCCACAAAGCTACAATAAA